TTCTTTGACGGTAAGCACGTACGCATACCATACACGTTGTATGCTAATTCATGTTAAATAAAATGCGCTAAGTTTTGATTATTCCCAAGATGTACAGAGAGCACTCGCTTATCCATTAGACAGATTCCACTATACAATTACATGTATAATATCCTGACCGCATGTTTACACTCTCGTAAATCGACTGTTTGACGTGACTGGGGCATCGGTGGACGAGGAATGCGTGCGTGCACATTACATTTCGTCAACACTTTCATTCATAATAGTATCACTTGCAATATGGCGTAATATCAATCGACGATCCTCAAAATACTGTATGTATGTATGCACGTTGTAGTTCGAATGATTAGATATTTCTTTTATTTTGCCATTTTTGTCGATTCTTTCATTATGAACAGTGTTGACTTGCTCTCGAAATAAATACTTTTACACCGATGTTACCGTTTGTAATGTTTATAAGTGTATACGTGAAAGATATTCGCCTTTGAAATAATAATTGAAGACACAACTATATAGTCTTCAAATCAGCTGGGTGTTATTATTGAAGTAACGCACGACGCGTGATATTGTTGTAATGGGGTCTGATCGCGTTCCATAACTCCTGAATAATGCCATGAATCAAATTGTCCTAACAACATGGTAAACACGGGTCAGCAATAAGTAGCTATTTTATCGGTGAGGAAAGATCTGCTTCTTGATTGCGATTATGATTATGTCTAATATAATATATAATAATCTATTACTCTACGTACACAACTTGAAGTGGGCTTTTCAATTCAACTCACTGCGGCCGTACACAACATGGCTAGTTCCCCATTCGAAAGAGTGCGTGCGTGTGTTGCAACGCTTTCTGTGACCACTGAGCTTTTCAAATATTTACAAAGCACGATGTGATAACTGAGGTGGTAAACTGACCATGATGTCAATATCCAACCATCTAATTTGCACAATAACAATTAAAATTGAAACCGTATTCATGCGTGGGATCTTGGTTGGAAATACAACGAAGTAACAAAAAACCAACAA